ATGTGTGGTATGAATTTGGCATTCAACCGCGAATTGATTGGCCCTGCTATGTACTTTGGATTAATGGGTGATGGTCAGCCAATTGGACGCTACGATGATATGTGGGCTGGCTGGTGCATGAAGGTATCTTGCCATCTACACTGCTACATTTGTCTTGATTCAGTGTAACTGTCTTCTGGTTATATGGGCACTATAATATTTAGCAGCTTGCTTGCCTCTACTAATAGCCAATGTCTCTTGTATTTGCAGGTTATATGTGACCACCTAGGATTGGGGGTGAAGACCGGGCTGCCATACATCTGGCACAGCAAAGCCAGCAACCCCTTTGTGAATCTCAAGAAGGAATACAAAGGAATTTACTGGCAAGAAGAGCTGATCCCGTTCTTCCAATCCGTTTCCCTTCCAAAAGAGTGCACCACCGTCCAGAAATGCTACTTGGAACTCTCTAAGCAAGTCAAGGCTAAACTCGGCAAGGTTGATGAATACTTCCTCAAGCTTGCAGATGCCATGGTGACATGGATCGAGGCATGGGATGAGCTGAACCCATCAGGAGCAAATCCTGCTGAGTCAATCAATGGTTCACCCAAGTAGACTTCTCCATCTAAAGCAGTCATCTACTTTGGTAGCCATAGGCTTGTACTTCCGGCATTCATCCTTTTTGTCCAAGCTTTGGCATCAAAGCTTGGATTTATTTGTTTCCCATATAGTTTTTATTTGTCATTAGTGCCTACAAGTTTAGAACAATGAGACAGTATCAGGCTTCTGTGCTTCATTAGATGTGCGAGATATCTGGTATTTAATTTATTAGTCAAGAGCTGGGATTATCACATTAAAGTTCGTTAATTACAGTGTTATTTTTGTCTTGGTCGTCTATTGGTCCCCAACCTTGGGGGATATATGTCAAATGGTACCTCAACCTTTACAATGCGTGCCAGATGTTGGTCCCCAATGGCCCAAACTCTCCAAACTTGCAGTCAATCAACTCAATGAAATGAAGAAGTAATCATCCTGAAGTCCAACTTCCTGAATGAGATAATGGTTGGCTTTATGAAAATGAAAGTCGTTTTCTGCTTTCACTAAGACTAAATGATTATCATCCTATTGAAAAAACAAAAAGTGATTGGTTGTGGTTTAGTGCAGGCCTATCATCATGAGTTCTCTTAAATTTTTTTTCTTTTGCATTTCAAACTATAAAATAGAAATTATAATGAGACAAGTTTTAGTATTTAAGGACTCCTCTATTCAGTAATTTCAATTGTATAATTTAATATATTTTAAATTGTATAATATTTTTATATTATTATAACAAGTTAATAAGTTAGTAATTTTACAATTCAAATTATGTAAATTCATGCTCTAATGCTCATCAAATAAGACTTTGAATTTTAACATGCGAAGAAAGATGTAATCCCGAAAAAATTTGGGGTTTGTTAATTGACAGAAATGCAAAGTAATCCATTATGATCTACAATCACAAATGTCAATGTTGATCAAAGTCTTATCAAAGGAAATAACAAGTAAACATTGGAGACGAGAAATTATTCAGTGTCTTGAAAAGGAATGACTTCCCAATTGTATCAGCTGAGTGAAGCTGAAAAGGCCTAAGTTGTTAGCAGCATCAGCATGTGACAAGGGCAGCTGAGAATATGAACTTTTCAACTTGCTTGCTCCGAATGATCCCATTTATCTTTACCTCAAGAATAGAGATCAACGATGATATCTCCAGAACTTATAATAATTAGCATATCAAACGTCAATTCCTGTCAACAGTAGAAGTACAGTCATTAAGCAATAATTATACAGGAATCCACTGCAATTCCTGTAGGAAATGAATCCAAACTTCTTGCTTCGAGGAAGATATCATCCGTTAACGTGGCTTTATTAGTCTACAACTCTAATTTCTAGCTAATCTACATCCAGAATTCCTTTTAGTCAATGCTTTTTATAGATGTTCTACTTCAAGTTTTGATAAGATTTATGCTGTTCAAAGTAAAAAACAAAGTTTTGATGCAAGATATATAGTTGATCATTGATGTGATACTGAGCAGAGTGCAAGAATAAAGGGAATCTAGTAATTCTTATTAAAACCAAATATTTAGAAGACAGCATGCTGCAGTTTGCAAAATAAAAAATTAACAGTTTTCCTCCTAAGTTTCCTTAGTAGTTTTTCATGTAGTCATCACATCAATAGAGATATACTGTAATGAAATTTAAAAGAGACATTTTTACTTACCTAATATGCACTGGACTTATGTGATCCGAAGGCAGAGGAAAGCATCATTTTCCTGCTTCCCTCTAGGGATTGTCTTTGATGCACTTGCTGAAGCTGTGATGATAGTTGCAACAAGTCAATAGTTGGCCCCTCTTCACATGATAGGGGATTTTTGGCATTCACAAATTCTGACCCTTGGTAAATCCCAACAGCGATATCAAAGTTGGCAGCTTCACTATCATTAGATATCAGTATGGGACCTGAGTGACTCTTTTCAGTTGAATTCATCCCTGATGAAGAGATTTTGTTTGATAATGCACTTGTTGAGGCCTGTGAAGTTACTCCAATGAGCTTTTCAGAGACTTGACTCATACTGTAATGGGTATGGCTGGTTGGCACAACCAAGGGACGTGCCAAGGGAATTCCTGACGAGTGGCTTGAAGAGTTCTGTGATTGAGATGACAGAAGAGAGAGAGCACAACCAGAGTCTGAAATCCCCGATAATCCTTGAATGTTTGATGCTGTATTGAAAACATTGAAGTCTTCACTCTCTAGGGCAGTATATTGGAATGGAGCCTGAGATACAGAATTTGGGTCTCCAAATTCATGGGAATATCGGCCACTGTTCTCAGTTAAAATGATTCCATTTGATGTAAGACCTACATTATCATGGAAAGGGGGAAATGGTTTTACGAAATCACTAGGAGGGAAGAGAGACTTTGAATGAAAATGCCCATTTGCCATGGGAATGGCTGGCAGAGGTCCATAACCAGTCCCTTCTTCAGCTTTTATACGTTTGCACCAGTCATTCATTACATATTTGTCAGGATGCAAAAGGCCATTCGGTAACAAATCTTGGCAGATAAAGGATGTAGTTGTTAACATGGTCCCATGAAATTTGCTATCTGCAAAATCCGCAAGATATTCAGAAAACCCCCAAAACAAATGATACCCTAGCACCTTCCACACCACATGGGCTTCACTCAGATCAGGTGTTAAATACTCATGACACCAATGGGCACAAGACGTGGGCATACAGGAGTAGGCTATTACTAGGAATAGTTTTGTACTTGGCAATAAAACACAAGTACAATCAGATGAGATAAATCAAGAATCAATTATGCAAGGAGGCCAAGTAAAGCCTAGAGAAAAATGAAATACAGAATGGCTTCAGGAGTTCACAATAATTTCATATTATTTGCATCTGAAATTATAGCAAATACCCAAGTTCTTCCCAGTATAAAAATATCTCAAATAGATAGCAAATTTAGGCTTTCAGAAGATAACAATGCAATAGAATGGAGACTATAAATTGTAGAATAAAAATTTATGAAATAAGTTCCTAATGTTAACAAAGATTCTTCCTGATATCCCCATGAAACATAAGTCAACTGTTCTGCTTTTTCCACAGAGCCATTTCCACATGCAGCACTAGCACCACATGCCAAATGCCCAGAATTAGTTTGGCTGACTGGTGAAAGCAACTTCATCTAAAACTTCCATTTTAGCCTATTTAGCAAAGGTAAGGCATTCCACCTGACAATTTGGAGTTCTCAAATATGATTGACATATCACTTCTCTATCTCAAGGGAAGCTATTACAACATAAGGTTTATGCCAGGCTAGAACAACATTTTTTTTTTCCCCTTAGCAATCAAACATTAAATTCCAAAATTTGAAGGGATAAAACAAAGAACTTAACTATTTATGGTCCACACTAAGATAGAAAAGCCATTATATCTTTTATCAGGCTTTCTAAAGATAAAGACCATAGACCTATTGCAATGGTGCTCACCGAATTTTTTTTTTTTTTTAAAAAAAACCTCAATAGTAAGAAAAAGAAGGTTGAATATATCCAAATATTTTGTTATTCATAGAAAATTAAGCATTACGCATAGATATATTGTACAAGTAAATCAAAATTAGATGTGATGCATTTGCAATACCATTATATGACTGAAGCAACCTTCCTGTTCTTCCAGAGTGAAAACCAACTTGAGGTTTTCTTCGTCGCTCATTGTGACCAGCAAGACGTTTACGGCAGCTTCGCTTACCATCATCAAATTCAGCCAGCAAATGAAACCTGAACAGTCAAAGGGTAGTACATATTAAAGCAGCATTGAGATTGTTGCACTGGAATATGGCCAAGGTCTATAACAATAAGATCTGATCCAAGAATAAGTTTTATCACACAAAACTGGGCTATTCTTCATAGATGTAGGTTTTATTGTTTTTTTGAAACTCCTCGGTAGTAGAAAAACTGAGATATAGATAACTGAAATATATCTTCAAAAAGAGCAAGAGAGGAAACTAAGATGAAAGGCTTGAATAAAATAATATAAAATCAATAAATCCATACAAGAAAACCAATTTGCCAAGAAGAGAAAAGTAGGAAAACATAAAAAGAGAGAGAGGACATTATAAGCACACTTAAAAACAAGAGAAAACAAATTCAAAATTGAACAACCACAAGGTCATCACTCATTAGCTCGCTTTGGGATTTCCAAAATGACATTAGAAGAAGGAATTAGATTTGAAGCCAATAAGAAGATTTGAAATTTTTTCTTTATTACTCATCAGCCCGGTTTGGGAGTTCCAAAATGGCAATTGATTTTGCATTACAAATGGGCAAAGAATTCGGGCTGTAAGAAGGTTGAGATAGAGTCTGACTGTGTTCAGGCTATTTACATAGCCAGATCTGAAGATGAATGTTTTCTGCCGGAGCTATTGTTGACGACCTTCATGCTAGGAAATCTTTATTTGACTCTCTATGTTTCAATCATATCAAAAGAGACTGTAGTGTCCTTGCACAAAACTTGGCACAACTATTGTCACCTACTCCACCCTGGGAAGGTGTCTGGTTTGGTACCCTTCCAAGAGATCTATGTACTAATGCCAAATATTCAGTAATGATACTTGCTTTTTTTATAAATTTTTTTTTCTTCATCAGTATAATCTAATTTTTTCTTCCATTCCCTGGCAGTTAAATTGAAAAGAATGATAGAAAGGATTAAGCAAAACAAACCTGCTACACTGTTGACAAAACCTTTGTTCCATTCCATTGACAATAACTTTTGCTGTCTTTGAGTGAATTTCACAAACTTTGTGCCTCTTATAGTAGTCTTTTAAAGAGCTTAAATCCTTGTTACAACCATAAACTTGGCAATAGGCAGTGTGAGAATTTAGCCCTGTTGCTCGCACTCTCTTATGGGGTGTAGATGACTCAGATGAAGACAGAATGGGGCCTCCCTTAGGAAAGTTAAAATTTTGATCATCTCTATGATCAGCAAACCTCCCCAGCTTCAAATCTATGAGTGAAGAATCCCTCCTGTAAGAGTCCACCACAGAGCTTGAAAGCTTGGAAGAGGACTCATCCTCTCCTGATAGGTAATTCAGGGTGCCCATAATTGGATTCACAGCACTTCCACCACTGACTCTACTACTTAAAACTTCGCCGACTGAATCATTGGTTAGTTGTTTTCCTACCGGTTCTCCATAACTCAATACTCCAAAGGAATGATTCTCAGTAGCTTGTTGACCTGAGATGAACAAGTTGTTGCCAAAACTATATGGACCTTTCAATTCCCAGTTCATCATGGCACTTTTACTTCTTGCAAATGAATCAGAAGGCGATAATCTTGAATCAGACAAAAACCCCTTCTCCCCAGAAACATAACTCCAAGACTCCATTACACGCAACAGAACCAAAGTTTAAGAAATTGCGTAAAAACCCAGTTCAGTTCAGGCAAGAAAACTACCTTTCTTTAGCTTTCACCCAATTAAAAAATCATTCTGCAAATCCTCAGATGATCTTAGAAAATTTGACGCTCAACCACTGAACGCCACCCAGAAGAACCCAAGTCAAGGTCAACAAAAAGGAAGAAACCCAACAATCACCCTTCCTTGGAGCATCAAATTCTAGAGAATCTGAATCCCTGATCAACAAATACATACCAAAAACAGAACACCCATTAGAGAATCAGAAATCCCAAAATCTCAGACAAAACAAACAAAAACTCCAGTACTCCACAACCCACTTCTACTAAATCAAGACAAAGCTAAAGTAACAAGTGACCAATCCAATAACCAATGCAAGACAGATATTTTGTGACACAGAACTCTTAGAATGCAAGAAAAAGCATACATTCCTTATGTTTGAATAAAGATGAAAGCTACCTGGTGAGGACTGAGGGAAAAAAAAAAAGAAAAAAAGAGATGAACAATAAAAAAAGAAAAACTAAAAGTTGCTCAAATGGTTGGTTATGACTATGAGTAAAGAAGTGTACTTTACCAGTCCACACAAGAGAGCAACGGTACAATGGAATGGTGAAGACAGACCCCAACTCAGAGAAAACGATTTATAGGTGTCCCTAACTCCATGGAAGAAGAAAGCTTTACGGTTGCTATATTTGGTCGGAAAGAGAGAGAAAGCAAAAGGAATTGAAGGTGCCTCTATCTTTTTCCTATTTGCTTTGTATAGCAAGCATAGGGAATTGCTATGTCCACTCCGGGTTTTGCTCTCATATTTTCGAAGTGTCAATGGCTTCGTATTACTTTAATCAAGCTAATTACCTAATGAACCGTTTTACCGACACTTTGTACACGGCGTCGTTTAAGGCCCCCGTTTTTCCCTGCCAATAGTAATGATTACCTTCGCAGAGTGGTTTTTACATGAGCTTTGTTGCTTTACTCAGCAATAATGATGAATAAGATTCTGTCCATGAAAAAGGCAATCAAGGAAATGTGTCCAAGAATTTAAGCATGGAAATTATTTTAAAAAAAAGAAGTGCAAATTTTTTACCTGAAACAAAACTCAAAGTGAGAATTTAAAAATTTTTCAACGCAATTAAAAAAATATTTTGTAATTTAAATGATAAAACAAAAATTATAAAATAAAAAAAATAAATTTTAATATTAAAAAAAAAACTCATTTCTTATTTAACAGTTTAAAATTTACAATTCAAAACACAATATTTTTTTTTATTAGAAATTTACCTTTGAAAATAAAATGTGTTTTGTATTTATTCATGAGATGCTTATCCTAACTTCAAGTCCCTTTCTTTTGTTAATTTTATACCTGAAATGTGGTTATCATGGTTATTGGTAAATGGTACGAATTAACAATAATATAAACATGGGGGGTATGCCCAGTAGTTTTCTGGTAAATGATTTGATCTTTTATGCAGTTGAAAATGCTTGCCTATTTTCCAATATATATATATAAATGGATATGATAATCTTTACTTAAATAGGATTAAAATGTAAAAGAGAGTAAATATTTTTTTTTGTCATTTTTATTTTTCAAAGAATAAATTAAAAGAAAACACTTTTCCTTTTTTTTTTTTAATAATTGGTGACTTTTACATTAATTTTTTAAAACCTTAAGGTTTTAACTTTTAAGTTTGAATGTTGGTTTAATTTGATTTTATTTTAAGTTTGTTTACATAAAAGGGAGAAAATAAAACTAAAATGCACGTCTATCTCTCACTAATCATTGTTACAGCTCAAAAAAGTACTAGTAATTTCAATTTCTAGAAGAGTTGATATTCCACAAAGTTCAAAATGCAAAAAAAAAAATTAAGACAAACACATTTTCAATGTTTACTACCTTGATATTCATTAGTACATTGCAAATCAATAAAATGTATGCTAGCATGAATTACTTAATTTATATTACATGTGCACATTAAATAACATGAAAAATAATAATTAAAAGATGTCAGTATTTATCGATTGAACTTCTTACATAAAAATTTTTTTATTTAATTTTTTGGTCAATCTTGATTGTAATAAACACTTTTCCCTAATGAAAAGTCATACATTAATGAATTCATTTTTTATGAAATGAGAAATTAAAATAACACATAAAACATAATTTCTAGATGAGAATATGGGGTGTGGAATCAAAAGTGTGGAGGCATGAAAAACATGAGGGGAAAACAACAAGAAGAACGAAAGTAGTATAAAATGTTAATGGGCAGGCAAAGACAGCAAGAACGCAAGTGGAAGGTAATAATTCAGTGAGAGTGATGTCCAACAAGTCCCAATGCAGTGTCAACACACACTATAGTGTTGGGATCTAGAAGACAGGCCCCACACCCCAACTAACGCGCTTGTGCTTCCACGTAAGTCGCCATGTTATGTATGTCCCCCGGTTTTGATGTTGATAATTAATGTACCATTAAAAGAAATTGATATATTTATAAATTGTCATGAAAATTTAAATTACACATACAAGTTTTTGATATTAAAAACTATTTTTACAAGTTTAATTGTCCTTTATTTATAATTTAAAATGTAAAATATGAAATTTTTTCGTACACATTGCTTTGTGCATTCTAATATAAAATAAAAATAATTAATCACTCAATGATATTTATACAAAATATTTTATAGAAAAATATTATAATTCAATTACTTTTAATTTTTTTAATTTGATAATAAAGGGGTGGTGTTTTGCACTTTGGTTTGGATGTTCATCATTAATTGTTGATATTTTGTAATTTTATAAAGTTAAGACAGCAAAATGCTAGATTGTTTATGTATTTATCATTTTGCACAGTTTTTCAAGCAAGTACAATTGATAAAAATGAGGAAGAAGGAATTCGTTACATGGGTTGAAATGCATAGATCAAAATGTTGCACCATTAAAGGCTCTTAGTACGAAACTGGAATATTTATTCTGTGTTCAGTTCAGCTACATTCCAAGATATTAAATTTAAGTGAAAATAGTGTCCAACTCAACACGCAGGCAAAAATGACATTGTTGACTTGTAAAAAAAAAAAAAGAGTACAAAATTTTTATGAAAACCTCAATTTTCAATTCAGAGTTTTTGTAACTAAAATTATCAAAATACTTATAATAAATTGACACATGAAAGAATTTTATTAAAATAACTTTGATGAATTCATAACCCAGCTGATCACGCATTAACAGACTAAAGAACACGTTTTTTCATTGTTCTCACAATTCATTATCAAGACTTTGCAGACTTCCAGTTTTAGCTGTGGTGGTTATATATACTTATGTAGTTGTATTCATAATCGGAGGCTCAACTGCAGGTTTTTTTTTTTTTAGGCCAACATGGCTCAACCGCGGTTCGAATTACAGGGAACGCTACTTGCAAAAATTGCCCTACCTCATATATTTCCCTAGTGTTAAAAAAAAAAAAGAAGGAAAAGAAGGTAAAAATCAAGACTTCTTGATACTTTAAATGTCAGTACTCTATGTAAAATTATTTAAATAATTTTAATAAATTTTTTTTTATCTATGAAATTATTAATAATATTTTATTTTTTAAAATTATTTTTGATATTTTAATTATCATAATATCTTGATTTTCCCCCCTTCCTAAAAAAAATTATCAGTTTTGTGCATTTTTGCAATGAAAAGCCAAGCACATAAATGTGATACACATCATGATCATGCTGACGTTTTAAGCAAAATTACGTGAATATCTCTTCTTCTTCTTCTTTTGGAAATGGACTGCAGCAATTAAGTGGGAACCGAACCCTAGCCATGTGGGACACCTTTGAGTGAATCGCCAACTGGATGCGGTGACCAGAGAGGTCCACAGGCGACAGGGCCACCATCCCAAACTCCAAAAACCTGGGTTGTATAATTTGAAATAGTGAGACTGCAAACGAAGGACATGGTTTATTGCCACAGGAGAAAAAAGTGTTAAGGCGATAAGCTGGTCGGATAACAATTCTTGTCGTAAGGAGCAAGTTAATTGGAATTGCCGAATTTGGAAAAGAGGAATTGTGGATTATTGGGGAAATGGTGGAATTAAGTAAGGCAGAAGGGCTTTGAAATTGGAAGGCGGTGGTGTGTAAGAAGTAGTATATATTATGGTTGACAGTAGGAGGTAGATCCATAGATTCTATCTGGGATTAGGGGGGGACATTGTGGACTTGGAGAGGCGGAGATAATTAGGTGCTACAAAAGGGGATTGTTAAGGGTTTTTTGTTGGGAGGTTGTGGTCAAGAAACAAGTATGCTTTTTGGGGGATAGTTGCATGGATGCAGGATCCCTTGTCCTTTATTATAAGTGGTTGTTTCTTTGTAAGAAGTTGCTTTTTCAGACTTTAAATATAAGGGATCGATGGGGTATCCCTTGTCCTTTATAAGCTAGTAACTTATTAAAAAAAGAAGTGTACGTGCACCGCAATTAGGTGAGCTTTCTTACTGAAGAACTAGAGAAGGCCATGGAAGTGTTAGGTTTGTCACTTGAACTAGAGAAGGCCACGAAAGTGAGCTTTAATAATGTGGAGTCTGATGATGTTCGAGAAGAGGCAGCAATTCCTCCTCAGATCCTATTTTTATTTCGGCATTGATTCCTCGTGAAAGCCCAATATAGGTTTGTCCCATCATAAGTTAGGAGGAACCACTTAAAAAAAAAAATCAAGGTGGAGAGATTTTCTTTTCGATGGAACAAAAATTTTATTTGGAGTATTGGAAGTATTTTACCTTTTAAGAATTATAATATATCCAACATCATGAACACTACTAAAAGTCCATTATTCAGCAACATGGAAGCATGTCGGTGAAAGTGCTACCCATGTTGCTGAAAGTACTTTAGCAACATGCTCCATGTTGCTGATGCCTTTCTTGGTGAAGCCATACTCGGTAAAGTATCAGTAACAAGGTCCATGTTATTGATACTTGGCACCCTCTTCAACAACATAGCTCTTGTTGTTGAAAATCTATGTTGCTGAAAATAGAGATTTACCAACATGGTTCATGTTGATAAAAAATTCACCGGATTGGTCACTAGAATTTTTCACCATTTTTAGCAACATACCTCTTGTTGCTAAAACCATAATATCACGGACGTAATTCATGTCGGTAAAAATGGTTACCGGAATTCTCTCCCCATTCGGTGCACTCTTTTCAGCAACATGAGCCACATCGGTGAAAGTATACTTTCACCAACGTGGCTCATGTCGGTAAATATCATTGGCAGAAGCATGAAATTGAATTTTGTACCTTTTCAGCAACATGAGACATGTTGCTGATAGTTCTATCTCTTTTTTTTCTTAAAAATTATCGATATTCTCTAATAATTAATATTATGAATTTATATTTCTTAATTGTATTAATAATTACAAATAATATAAATAAATTATTTTTATATTATCATTAAAA